CGCGCGCCAGCCCACCCGCCGGATCTGCGCGTAGCCGGCAGGGACTGCGTGCGCCTTCGGAGGCGTCGGTGCGAGGCGTCTGGTCCCGGACGGCGGCTGCGATCCTCGGGGGCTGCTGGTGAGTTGCTGCTCGCTGCGTGCCCACGGCTCTACCCTCCTGTTTGTGAGTCTGTCCGACCGGCGGCCGCGGCCGCTTCCCGCGTGCGCCAGCCCACCCGCCGGATCTGCGCGTAGCCGGCAGGGACTGCGTGCGCCTTCGGAGGCGTCGGTGCGAGGCGTCTGGTCCCGGACGGCGGCTGCGATCCTCGGGGGCTGCTGGTGAGTTGCTGCTCGCTGCGTGCCCACGGCTCTACCCTCCTGTTTGTGAGTCTGTCCGACCGGCGGCCGCGGCCGCTTCCCGCGTGCACGGGGTACTAGGCTGGGAAACCCCTAGGGAACGAGGATCCCAGGGCATTACCTTCCAGTTGGCATCCAACGGACAAAAGGGGACATCAAGTACGCCGGGAGGGGTGCCAGTCCCCCGGCGCAGACATCCACCGTCTGTGCCCAACACTTCTCAGGGTGGGGCTGCACGTTTACTGCGCCCTTCGAGCTACTGACAGCCATTCTGGGCGCGTACTGCGTTTTTCCAGCTGAGAACAAGCCGCACATGGCTACCGCTCGCCTCCCGTCGTGGGCTGGCACCAGGGCCGCGCACGGGTGCGCCTTGCAGATCTGCGGTGGCAGTACCCCCCCGGGTGCCCTTTCCTCACTTTTACGGTGGCGGGGGGCACCGGGGGCGGGCATTGTGAGCAGAGCTCCAACCTATAGGTCTGGCCGTTGGTTTGGGGAGTTTTTTGGCCCGTGGTTTTTGAACAGCTGAAGCTTTTTCAAGATGTTTTTCTTCTGGAAACTTAAGTGCCTTGACACAGACAAGTATCAGATATGTGAGGACGAATGGATCTGGTCAGTCCGTTTTTTGTTATGAATTATTATACTCCATTCCCCTCCCCTCGAGTTTGGAAGGCATGTGTTTCATCTTATAAATAGAAAGTAGCATATTTTTTTGGCAGGACCTCCTTTAATACTGCACAGTCTAGGAGAGGTCAGTTTAAAAATAAATATGCACTTGAATGTTACACTACCGAGAGCCAGGCTGTGGCTGGGACAAGCTGCGTGGACAGCAGCATCAAAGCCGGCAGCGCAGCTGTGTTGAAAGGAGTAAAAGCCCCAGAGTGCAACCCAGGCTGACAGTCAAATAATTACATTTTGTTTAAAAAAAAAAAAAAAAGGAGTGAGTGAATTAAAATGAGGGCGGGAGTAGGAATGTCAGGAGAGTGTTGCAGTAGGAATCGTTCCAGTCCTGGTTTATTTGGGAAAGGGGCTCCTGGTGTGTGCTGAGGGTGAAAGGCAGTTCCTGCAGGGCGGTGCTGGGTGGGGGAGGGAACTGATTAATATGTTAAGGAGACTAAGATTTGCCCCCGCCCCCAACTCTTAGGCCTCACCATATCAGAGAGTTTCTTGGCAAGGTTGCCTTTAAAAGGAGACAAAAATTAGGTGAGCAGCAGATTGTCCCGATTTGAATAGCAAAGCCAGGTTGGGGCACTTCCCTTAACTTCGTGCTGATCATGCCCTAGGGCAGTGGTTCTCAACCTTCCTATTGCTGCGACCCTTTAATACAGTTCCTCATGTTGTGGTGACCCCCCAGCCATAAAATTATTTTCATTGCTACTCATAGCTGTAATTTTGCTACTGTTATGAATCGTAATGTAAATATCTGATATGCGGGATGTATTTCCATTGTTACAAATTGAACATCATTAAAGCGTAGTGATTAATCACAAAAACAATATGTAATTATATATGTGTTTTCTGATGGTCTTAGGCGACCCCTGTGAAAGGGTCGATGACCCCCGAGGGGGTCGCGACCCACAGGTTGAGAACCGCTGCCCTAGGGTATCCCTACAGTAATTTAAAAGACTCCTATAATGTTCTTTTGTCTGACAACTAGAAGACACAACTTCTTTTCTGGACAGTTCCAGAGGTCTTCTCTTTGAACCCTTACTGGCATTAAGAGTAAGCTACCCAAGTATTGTGTGACAAATGCTTTTCAGAATAGATTTATTTTTAT